TAAATAACTTTAAAATATGATTATGTTCAAAACATATTTTATCCTTTGATTTTTTTTATTAGACTACTATAATTGCAAAATATTATCACAAAGTATTAAAAATTCTTACACGCAAAGTATTAAGGGTGACACAGTATTTATTGGAATTACCGTTAGAATTTCTAAATTGGAAATCCCCCGGCGTTAAAATCTCAAATTTTTCGGTGAGAATCAAAATTTAATCCTTCCCCTCGGTGGTGTAGTAGTTAGCACTGCGGACTACAAGCCGAGAGGTCGTGGGTTCGAATCCCACCAGGGGTATGGTTGTTTATTTGTGTTTGTCATTGTGTATTTCTGTAATTGGGCCTGGTGCCTGTTGAAAGCACATTAAAAATAATAAAATAAAAATAAATAAAATAGACTAACAATCGATATAGAAGCAATTTTTTAATGCTTTATTAGTTAAATCTAGTTAACTGCACTACTACCTCGAAATCAAAAGGTCAGTACAAAAGTTGATATAATCTTTCCAAATATTGGCGTCCAGAAACTGTGTAATACTTTTGTATTTTTGTATTGAGATAATAAAATAATTTTCACATTTAGTATTATTTTGCAAGAAAGGCACTATCTTTTAACGATTGTATGACATTTGACAACTGTCAACTAACTTAAAACTAACTTCAGCCCGTGACTATAAACCTCTTGCTCTCAACTTGTCAATGTGTATTTAAAAGGTGGACGTTTTAAGAGTGGGAGTGGAAAAAATAAATTAAACCCATTCATAAAGTCTCCATTAAAAAACCTATTTTTAAAGAAATAAAATCGCTGTTTTGCCAAAAATTCGAGTTTTGTCCGTTTTTATTGAAATAATAGACTAAATGTAGAGATTTGAAAAGCTTTCAAAATGAGGTATTACTTGACCCCTTTAAAAATTGTTGGGGTGACCAATGTTCACTCCCACTTAGGGGTTGATGTGGTGTTAAAAATATAAAAATAAATTGTGGCTATAAAATTAAAAGTAGGTAGATGTGTGTTTTATTTTTTTTACACTTGAGGAAACCGGGGTGGAAACTTTTCATCACCCACCCTGTATGTATGAATATGTAACTTGAAATCATTTTAATTAGGTACTTTTAAATACATAATTTTTATCACTCCCTCTAAGTTGAACTTCCTCTAACTTAAATAAATAGTTTAACATGTCAGATGACAAATCAACTTGGAGAAAATTTACTTTAATACCAAAAATTAACTTGACCTAAGCATAAGAAAACTGAGGGTTTGAACAAAATACGTGCATTTTTGTAATGATAACCTGCCAGAGTTCATGTGGCATGGTCACTGTTGATGGGTGTTACTTTTGTTTACAGGGTTTTTTTTAAGAATTTCTAGCGAATTTCAAGCGAAAATGGCCTTAAATACACAGAAAAAACGCTAGCATAGCATGAATGGGTGAGCCATTAAACCAATGGGATCTTGTAATCCGTATTTTTGAATAACAGTTCCTATAACACCAATAGGTAGTTAGCACTTGGTTTATAATCGTTTACTGTTTTTAAATTAACAGCAAAAGATATCGCTCCTAAATCTATTGACATTTTTTGTCAGAATGTTATTGCATTAAATCTAATTTTATTTATTTAATCAATTTAATTAAACGTTACTATAGTATGTATACTATGTATAAATTTAACGCAATACATTCTTTGACATTCAGGCAAAATGTTTTCCTATTTTGGTTTAATAGTAATTAATTGAGCAAATAACAATTTAGATTGCTTCAATTTTAATGCATTCTATGACAGCGCTGTTCTTGGTACTATGTTAGATGTTTTTATGTGTATAAATTTTGACACCCGCAGTAATTTTGAGTGCCATTTTGCGTTAAAATTTTGACATAATAAATTAGATTAATAAAGCTACAACATTTTGTAAATTTTATTAAAAAACACTTTCAACTTCGAAAGTTGTCGAATTTTTGCTAAAAAGCAATTTTTATTTCTTTAAAAATATGATTTTTTTAAGAGACTAACTTTATAAAAGACTACAAATTTAAATGTTAGCATATCATAAAAAGGTTTTTTACAATATCTGGAAAACAAAGGCTAATTTAGCAAAATTATGGTTATTTTTTAAATCTGCGCACCCTAGAATAGTGGTTGGCCACCCTGAGGTAAAATGGCTGTTGACTAGTTTTAACAGTTCACTAATAAAAATAAAAAAAAACTTGATTATCACGTTTGGATGTAAAATCTTTTAACATTTATAAATGCATGCTTTAAATACACTCTCTTTCGCTCTTTTATTTATTGTAAATATCTTTAATGGGGTGTCCGTTATTTCCAAAATAGGCTTTTTCAAATCAATTGTTTATAACCTAAAAATAATTTTAAAACAAAAAATGTCTAATGCTGTTTAGTCCTGTCTAAAAGACAGAAATTCCAAACACATAAAATGTAGATACAACATTTCTACTTCTTCCTCGTAGCTCGGTGCTTGTTGTCTTTTCGCAATATTTATGTCATTGATAAGTTGATTAAATCTTTTATTTGATCGTTACGGTCTTATTCTTTTATACACTTTTCCATGCCGTCTTTCCTCATAACATGACCGAAGGTCAGTATATGTCTTTGTATGGTTGGAACTAATCAGTTGTAAGTGAGTGATCAGCTGTCTAAAAATAAATGTTCCATGGTATTTTCATCATACGCCTGTAGCAAGTAATTTTAAAGGCTTCGTCTGCTTATCACTTTGGTCTACCTTTATGATCTTTCCATATCTTTGACAGGTTTGCAAGTGCAGTTTTTAAATTTCTCCTTTTAGTTTCCATTACAGTCACGCTCACAGATATATCATGTTCTCTAGTCTCTCAATCTGTGCGAATTGCGCAGGTAAAGGTAGACGGATGCACTTTCCTTAATTTAGTCTTATTCCTGCTTTTTAGATGCACCTTTCGATCCTTTCTAGCATTTGTTGTTGTTATATTGGGTATTATCAATGTCAGGCAACTTTGTGTATTGGATTCCAATAATTGGAACACACCCAAAACAAAAGACACCTGAGCTTATATACTGCCCATATATTTTTTGTGTTGCTGTTTTGAGCTAAACTTTTTGCATCTTTGTTTGTTTTTATGGGCCATTTAACCACGTAGCCTATATGCATTTAACTCAAACAATAATTTGTTGTTGGCCGCAAACCATTAAAGAAATTAGTTACTTTTAACTCATATTTAAGTATTGAAAAATAACTATTCAAAAGTGAAAACGGCTATTTTATTAGTAAAAAATGCTGGTAATAGTAGAATTTTGACTATTTCATTTTAAGAGAGTAGGATTTATACATATAGATTGTAAAATTACAACATATCTTAGTAGATTTCCCAACAGGTCTTGGAAGATTACTAAAATTGTATTAAAATTTTGTATTGGTATACACTCATTTATAATTTTAATCATCAATACATTTTTTTTAGCTATGGTTTATTGTCAATTTATTTAAAATAAAAAAGTAAAATCTTTTAGGCAGGATTAAACGGCATTCGAAATAACTTTTTTGGTGTCAAAATTCTTTTTAGGTTATAAATAATTGATTTAGAGGGCGAGGGTTACGGATATATGTATATCACGCTCTTAAATGTATATCATGATATATATTGACGATTTATATCATCTATTTATTTCATGATATATGTATGTGTATATCATATTATAAAAATTGCATATCTACATAATGCAAATCGGCAGTTTATTAAATGTTAAGTTTGTGTGCTCCTTATTTTTATACAATTAAATGTTATCAATGATTTTTCCCAGAGGTAAACCACAGATTAAAACTTTTTTTTTTAATTTCTTGGGTACGAATTAACAGCTATTGTGATTTACGTGATACGCAACGCGTCGCTAAGAGAAATATCTTATTTATACAGATTTTTCTTTATTGATAAGTATTGAACGCTGGTATAACGGCCATTTCAAGCGCGCGAAACGCACGAATGACAAAAATGTTTTTATAAAAAAAATTGTAGATTATTTATTATATAATATTTTGGCATCAAAATTGTCAAAAATATTCTTCTTTTATTAGGTTATACATTAAATAAAAAAAACGCAAGAAATATTTTTTAAAAGTAGATATAATTTTAATAATTGAAAGGTGTGGACGGGACAAAAAAAGATTTATCTTGTCCCGTCCATCCCCTGTCAATTATTGAAATTATCTCTACTTTTATAAAATATTTCTTGCGATTTTTTTTATTTAATGTATAGCCTAATAATAGAAGAATATATTTGACAATTTTGATGCAAAAATAATATATAATAACAATTTTTTTTATAAAATGCTTGAAATGGCCGATAAGCGTCGAATAAGAAAAAAATGTTTAGAGCACAACGTCTATATAACGCTTAACGTTGTTTTGCTGATTTTAAAGTGGTTTACCCTCGAAATTGCGGCCGAACTGATTTTTTTGACCGATCGAGAGTATATCTTAAATATCTGATAAATGTGTACATGCTACTTAACAGAAAAACGTTCTTAAAAAACTTTTTATGTATTTTTGTATGTAAATAATTTGTTCCGAACAATTTAGATATAACCATAAAGAAAGTACTACACAAAAAAAACGCTAGCATAGCATAAATTTTTTAGTATATTTTAATGTGCCTTCAACAGGCACCAGGCCCAATTACAGAAGTACACAACAAACACAAATAAACAGCCATACCCCTGGTGGGATTCGAACCCACGACCTCTCGGCTTGTAGTCCGCAGTGCTAACTACTACACCACCGAGGGCGTGCCATAGCAACCAATGGCATCTTGTAATAATATATTCCTGAATAACAGTTCCTATTATACCAATAGGTAGTTAACAAATTAGATTGCTTCAATTTTAATGCATTCAATGACAGCGCTGTTCTTGGTACTATGTTAGATTTTTTTATGTGTATGGATATAATTAAGGCCTTTTTATTTAAAAAAGTTAGGTTGACATTCTTCAACCTAAAACCTTCATTTCTAATGTCATTATTTCACACTAAATTTATGTATTATATCATCAAACCCTTTAATTATATTTCATGATAGTTTTATTCATACAAAATGTTTGCGACCTCGTTCAAAGAAATCCTCGTCAAAGTGTTCCCAGACAACGAAATTGTAAGTCACGAAGTCTTCCCAATTTTATCCGCTGGGGACAATTACGGCGTAGAAGTGCTTGGGGTGTCAGTATCAACAAAAGATAAGAGCACAAATGAAGACAAAGTAATTCACGGTGTGGTGAAAATGATACCAGAAGACTCCAAAAACAGAGTGGCAACCAGATCAAACGACTCATTTCTAAACGAAATCATATTCTACAATAGAGTAATCCCGGCTTTGGAACAGTTTAGGCTCGACAAGAATGCCGTTTCGCCCATTAAGTTTTTCCCAATATATTATGCAGCTTATGCAAATTTGGACGATAAAAACGAAGTCAGTCAATCGTTGTTGTTAATTGAAAACCTAACCAAAAATAATTATGTGAAGGTGCCACGACATTTGGGATTTGATTTAGATTCCGCCAGGATGGTTTTGAACGATTTGGCGCACTTTCATGCCATAACTATAGCTTGTAAGATCCTCGAACCCAACATATTTAACAAGCAAATTAAACCCCACCTTAAGGGGGTTTATTTCGAGAAAAATCTACCCGATACGATTTACGAAAAGTACTACGAAGACTGCTTTCAAATCCTGCACAACAAAAAGCTGTGCAATATATACGGAGATCGAGTCAAAGCAAACCTAAAAAAACCAAATAGAGGCAAAATTAACGAAGACTTTGCCACTTGCACACACGGAGACTACTGGATTGACCACAACCTGCTGCAATTTGAAGACGTCCATCCGATGGCCCACAAAATGCTCAACTTCCAAAAATGCGTCTACAACTCTTTGACCGACGATTTAATATTATTTTTGTTCACAAGCATAAACAACAAAATTCTAGAATCCAACTTTGAAGATTTTCTGCATTTCTACTTCTTGAAGTTTATCGACTTCGTGGAGGAATTTAAAATTAAGCCCAAGTGGACGGTGGCACAATTTGAAGCAGAATTACGTTTCTCAGCTCAAAAAGCGCTTTTTACTAGGTGCATTTCTATGGTATACCCCATGTGTAGAAGCATAGAAAGATTTAACCCAAACGACAATATAAATACTTTTCCGTTAAGCGAAGCTCATAAAGAAAAAATTGTGCTTATTATACTGTTGTTTGCAAGTAAAAAGTGGATATGAGATTTATGTGTTTTTATTATTTTGTAAATCGACCACCATAGTGTTAACGATTGCATTCTATGTGATTTGGGCCTGGAGTTGAAGGCTACCATAAAGATTTTTCATAGTTTGGTAAAACGACGTTTTTAGGCTTTTCCACTAAATAAATTTCATAAAAGGGAAAATGTTGCTTATTAAACTGTTGTTTGCGGGTAAAACGTGGATATGATGCTGTTTCTGTGTGTTTTACACATTGTTAAATCGACGATAATTTTTAAGAATACTGTTGCCTATTACCGCGATTAAAGTCTTTGAATTTTTTTCAAAGCATGTTTTTGTCTCTTTTATGTGAAAGAGAGTCATTAAAAATAAAGCTTTCAGGTTTTTAAAGAGATAAAAAGCAAAGGCGTGTTGTCAATATTAAATGCGTTTTTATCTAAATATAAAGCGGCTTTAGTGGAGTATGTGAGGTCGAATTTAAATAAATGGTACCTACTTTAATTAAAGTTATGCAACCAAATATACAACTTTGAGTTTTCATAGGTATTTATGCACCAAGGGTGTTATTAAGATAATTACCCCCGGAGAGCGACAACCATGGTTGCAGCGCAAGGGCCTAACGCTCTATGGGCGAAATGATCTAGTTACGCCAGTTGGGCATACAGGATTTCACATAAAACTAAAAATATAATGTTATTTTCTGAGGAAGTAATGAGAATTACGCCTCCTCATTACACATCGGTTGTATGGATTCATTTAAATATCTCGTATCCAAGGCGTTATGACAAAATAATTGCTATTTTGCAATGCAATTTTCCATTTAAATGTTATTCCGATAAAAAACATTTTGTATCTTATTAATAAATTAATGTAAAGCTAAGCAAAATATGTCCATATTGATACATATTTGATAGGGAACTAAATGCTCTACAAGAAAGGTATCCTTTAGGGTTTTCGCAAACCTAGCCATTCAAAAGATTGCCCTAGCCATTTGTTTAAAACTTGTCTGCACAGCTTTCGCCGAATAGTTTAAATTTTGAAATGAGTAGGTAGTTAATATTTTTATTGGAAATTAACACAATCTACAAAAATTGAACCTACACCTCGCCAAAGTTTTTTGTTTTGAGTGCGTTCCATTTGGTTCAATTTGTTCTTATGAATATTACCAGTAATGGGTCAAGAAAGTTTCTTAAAGAAACTAAGAAAATTGAATGTTTCAATTTTCTTTAGTTTTTTTAATAAACGCGTTTCAAAGATAATCGCGCGCGGAATAATAATTTGTATTAAGTTTTATTTAGTATATGACAAGGTTTTTCAAAACTTTTTTCTGAATAAAATGTTCTAATGTGATTATTAATTTGACAAATAAATGTTTTAAATGTCTTCTATCCAGAAGGCTCCGGTACTGGAATAATAAATATTTTGAAATAAAATTTTACAAATGTGAAAATAATTAAAAGCCTATTTTAATTAGTAAAAACACAAATTTATAATGATATTAAAAAAAACAAGTAAAATTAATAATTTTCACACTAGGTAAAAAAAGTTTAAATCGGTATAAGTTGAACTTCAGTTGTGATTATTCTCACTTATGGAATAAAATGTATTATTCGATAAGAAAAGATTTTTATGAAAAACGCGTAAACTTTATTTTTTTACTTCAAATCAATTATAATTTTAAATGTTTTGTCCCCACCATTTTTTCCCAGGGTGTTTAAGACACAACCTGCTAATTTAGATAAATTAGGAACCTGCAAAAATTTGGAACTTAAATAACACCGGAGGTTTTAAACAGAGTGCGGGAACAATTTCACAATAGATTACTTAAGTGTCAGGAAGTGAACATTTTAAATATTTATAAGATTATAATCTAAAGACCAGTTTATTTATGAATTTTTAATTAATTTTAAAATAAAAAGTTTACTTTTTTATTCTGTCCTTACATTTCAACCCTGTATAAGAAACTATGTTTACTAAACCCTACTTATCGGTATCGTCGCGACGCGTCGTACTCAGAAAAATGTGCAGTTTTCTATGAAACAAAGTGGGATTGTTATTTAAGAGAAATGTGCATAATGTGGTGGGGGCAAAAAATTTAAAATTATGATTTTAAGATTTTAAATATAAAAACAAAGTTTACTTAATTATTAATTGTTTGAGCGTTTTTTATAAAAATCTTTTCTCTTCGAATTTAAAAAGCTTATCAAAATAATTAAGAAACATTTTTTGAGAATCAGTTAATTTCCAACAAAAAAATGTACTACTTATTTTAAATTTTAACCATTTTGAATTATCTAGGTTTGAATGGCTAGGTTTACGAAAAAAAATAGAATGCCTTTTTTGTATAGCAATTCCCTATAAAAATGTCTATTGGGCTTAGCTTTATATTGAGTGCGATATACAAAATTGGACATAGCTACCTAAAACATTTTTGCTATCTTTGTGGCCTATTCTACGCACTTTTATCAAAGCGGTAAATGTGAACTAGGGGCTTAAACACTTAAAAATTCATAAAAAAACGTGATTATATAGAAACTATATATAGTTTCTTATGGAAATACCATGGGAAAAACATACTTATTGTTGAATGTTTTTTAGGATAACTAAAAAAAAAATAATAATAATACATTTTTAAAATTTTTAATATTTCCAAAATTTTCAAAATTTACTAATTAAGAAAAAATAAAAAAGCTTATACTTGTCTTAAGTGGGATAGTTTTTTTTCTACTCCCACCTTTAAAACGCCCATTATCGTACATGTTTTCATGACACTAAGTGACCTTTTAAATACACATTGATAAGTTTTGGCTTTATGGCGTTTTAGTCACGGGCTGAAGTTAGCAACAGGTTTTTAGTCACGGGCTGAAGTTAGCTTTAAGTTAGTTGGCAGTTGTCAAATGTCATACAATCGTTAAAATAAAGTGCCTTTCTTGTAAAATATGAAAATTATTTTATTATCTTAATACAAAAATGCAAAAGTATTAAATAGTTTCTCAACGCCAATATTTGAAAAGTTTATATGAACATTGTACTGACCTTTTAATTTTGTCAGCAGTAAACTATATAACTTAAATTCAGGCACGGACTCCACTGTAAAGTGCTCATAAAACATTTTCTTTACTTTCACTGTGAAAAACTGTCCATTTTCAAGGAATATATACATTTCGATTTATAATATAAAATTTGACATTTGACGGTGACACACAGATTCCCCTATTGTTTCATAGATGGCACTCCATTCAAATATTTGATTTAAATCATTTTAAGATAATAATAAGTATTTGTCGTAGAAAAAGTATAGTTTGCACCTCGTTTATAAACTTTTCTATACACTCATTAATTTAAGCACTCGCTCTCAAGCTCGCTCGTGCGTAGATTAAATTCGTGTATAAAATAGAGTTTATCAAACTTGATACATAATATACTATTTTATACACTTGTATTATAAATTATGATTTATAATATACTACGAGGGTTGCCTTTTATATTTCGGGAATGGCCGAACCTGCTGATGCTATCGGACAACAGATGTCTGTATCGTTAAGTTCGACCTTTTAGACGGTGTTCTTACTTAACACGTTTTGACGTGCGGGCGCAATTAGTATTATTAACAGTCACTTGAAAAATTAATGTCGGCCAAAAAAATGGAATTGACCCGTGAACATTTTCGTGCTATAATTTTTACAACTTTAACGTGGATTATCCCAACAATAATGCATCGATGAATTTAATTTGACTTTTGGCGACAAAGTGGCATAAAAAACAAGTGAATATCGGTGGTGTTCCGAATTTAATCGTGGCCGTGGTTCGCTCACCGACGAATTTCGTGAAGGTCGTCCAAAATCACTCGTTCTTGCAAAAAATATTGATGCTGTGCGTGAACGGGTAATGCAAGATCATCATGTGACATATCGTGAGATTGGGTCATCCTTGGGCATTAGTGGGACCAGCATACATTCAATATTAAATAAACATTTGGCCTTCAGAAAAAATTGTTACCGTTGGATCCCACATAATTTGAGAATCGATCAAAAAAGGTCTCGGGTCTAGTGGTCAAAAGAAATGCTTAAAAAATACGATGGCGGTGCTTCAAAACATGTTCATGACATTGTATCAGGTGACGAATCATGGATCTATGCGTATGAACCTGAAAGTAAACAGCAGTCGACTGTGTGGGTCTTTAGAAGCGGTTGATGCGTTCAAAATGCATGTTTTGGAGGTGCCTCAATTGGAGTGAAAAAAATGCTTCGAAAATTGGTTCAAGTGCATGCAAAAGTGTGTCAATCTTTATAGAGAATATTTTAAAAAACAATAAAGCCATGTACGATGATTAATTGTTGTTTGTTTTCTCTATTCCCGAAATATAAAAGGCAACCCTCGTATAATAACACGATACGATTCTATAGTTATACTTGACAGAATCATAATTTTACATAAATTAAATTTTGAACGTTAATTAACATATTAACCCTTTCTTTTTTACGAATTGTATTCATCAATGCTGTTTTGTATACTCTATAGAGCCTTCAATTCTGTACAAAAATATGTATTTTTTAATATAAAATTTCCATGTCAGTGACTAAAATTTAAAAAACAACCCCATTAAGGACCACCTTAATATAGGTACACATATTTTTAATTTTAATTTTAATCAATTATTATTATTATTGTTTTTAACATTAGTTAATATTCTTTCCAATCGTTCGATTGGGTTCCGTGCCCATTCCACTTTTGATTTGATTGGCACCGTTGGCGGATTTGAGAGTTAAAATTGCGGGAGTAGTGAGGGCAAGGGGGTTGTAGGGGGTACAGCGTGGAAGCGGGAAAGAGAGATGTTTTGTTTCCATGACCTATTTTCGAAATGTTAAGGGTTATGAGGCTAACGATAGAGAGCGACCATTGCCCTTGCGCGTGCTCTGCCAGTCTACATCCACAATTTGGTCCATTTTCCAATGTACGAAGCGTAATTTACGTACGAACTTCATACGTAGGAGTGTGGAAATGCGCTCGATCGGTCCGCA